CCCATCCAGTATCAAAGATGGTAAAGTCCTAGAACTAGAGGGGCTCAAAACCCAAAACCACTCAGTCTTGCCAGGTTTTGGTTGAACCCTGTTGTTCCCCATCCAGACCCTCATAGCCTCCAGACACTGGGATAGAATGTTCACAGCATCACTTAAGTCGCTAGGGGCAGAGCTATACAATTGAGTATCATCAGCATACTGATGATACTTCACCCCACAGCAATGGATGAGCTCACCCAGTGGTCTCACATAGATGTTAAATAGAAGAGGAGAGAGTACCGAACCCTGTGGCACCCCACATAATAGGGGCCGAGGACAGGATATCTCCTTCCCAATCACCACTGACTGGAACTCACCCTATAGAAATGAGATGAGCCAGCACAACACCGTGCCACCCACCCCAAATCCTCTGAGTTAGTCCAGAAGGATACCATAGTCAATGGTATCGAAGGCCGCCAAGAGGTCAAATAAGCAAGGATGGATGCACAACCCCCATCCCACCCACGCCAGAGATAATCCAAAAGCGCAACCAATGCCATTTCTGTACCATATCCAGGTCCGAACCCTTACTGAAAAGGATTGAGATACTCTATGTCATACAAAGTCCTCTGAAGCTGCTGCGCAACCACCTTTTCAATCACCATCCCCAAAAAGGGGAGGTTGGATATGGGACAAAAATCATCCAGTATCATGGGATCCAGTGATGGCTTCTTGAGGAGGGGGCAGACCAAAGCCTCTTTAAGAAGCAAAGGAACAACCCCCTCACTCAAAGAAGAATTCACCACTGCAAGAATCCACCCATATGACGCCCCTGGGCCGCTTTCATAAGCCAGGAGGGGCATGGATTTAAAGAACAGGTGGCCAAGTTCACAGTACTAAGGACCCTGTCCACTTCCTCAGGTCCAACAGGTTCAAACCATTCCCAAATAACCAGTCAAGACTCCACCCTAGGCATCTCCCCCAGACCTGCAGCAAAGCCAGCATCCAGCTACAAACAACTCTTGAGCTATTTTATCCAACAGATGCTGAGCAAATTCCTCTGCACGACCCTGCAAAAGGTTCTCCAGGCCCCCTTTACCCAAGAGGGCTCGAATCACCCAAAATAGGGCTGCAGGGTAGCAATCTGTGGATGCAATAAGAACAGAGAAGTATTGTCGCTTCACCACTCTTACTGCCACAAGGTAGGCCTTAATAGCGGCCTTAACCGATGTTCAGTCAAGTTCATCCTTAGATAAGCACCAATGACACTCCAGATGTCTCTTCTATTGTTTCATCTCCCTCAAGCCCTCCATAAACCACGGGGAGTGATGGGATACTTGATCCAAGCCTTAACTGCCCCTTTATTGCAGGCAGTGACCAAGGCTTCAGACCAGCATGAGCAACCCCCAGCTCCCTCTGGAACCCTCCAGATCCTTCAGTCACCAGGGGTAGACCAATCTAATAGGTCCAGCTTCCCCACAGTGGATAGCAGCACCAGAGAATCTCATGGTAATCAGAGCGTGATCTGACCATAACAAGGGAGACACCAGAAGCTCCTCCAATTGCAGATCACATAGCCACTGCTCCCACAAGAGCACCAGATCCAGTGTGTGACTACTGTTCCGTGTCAGGCTCTGGATGACCTAGGATAGTCCCATGCCCATCATCACCCTAATACTATGGCCACCCCAATCCCCCAGAAGGCTGCATCATCTGCCCCTCCAGGCCTCCCATTTCCCAAGGCCCAGGACCTCCCATAACAATCAAACATATCCATCCCCGGGAGGGGAAGCCAGGCAACCCAAGGCACTTCAGTTCTGTTGGCTTTCAGTGCCATCAGGGTACCCAGCACCCCATCTCCCCCACTCATCTCAGAAATACACCCACAGATACCCTCATGCTAATACTCACCAGGAACCCCAACCAGCTGCTCTCACCCACTAGCTGGGCTTCCCTTCCCATCACTCAACCCAGCCAACCCCCTCCCCAGGCTCTCACCCTAAGGGGGGAACCATACAAACCAACAAACAAACAATAAACAAAAGCACCTAAACCAACAGCCAGGATCAGAGAGCATGAGATAGCAAAGGAGTGGCAAAGGGGGTGACAAAGAGATAACAAGGGGGAAAGGTTCCATGGGGGGAAGGGTCCACAGCAGACTGCCATTCTGCCACTGTCCCTACCCACCCAGCCACCACCAATACCTCAAAAACCCCAGAGTCCAGAACTTGCTTGGCCCCCCTGGTTGGAAATTCCCATATGAACAACAGTCCACAAAGATGCTGGCAAACAAAAACAAACAAACAAAAACAGGCATGGAGATATGACAGCCACAGTCCAGCCAGGGGTTCCAGCCTACTCCACCAGCCAGCACCAGGCCATAACACAACAAGGACAACCCGCACCCTGTTCCTTCCTTCCTTCCTTCCTTCTTTGAACCCATTTTTCCGGCCTATCCTCCAGCCAGCTCACTCTGGCCCCAGCACAGCCAGCACACAATACGATCTCCAATATGACTGATGCCCAATCTACAAATGTAGCAGGTCACTTGCTAGCTGTCTCCAACCCACTCCTCCATTCTCCATTCTCTGGTCCAGCTCCAGTTCAGCTCTTCCAACTCACCCAGCTCAGTCTCGAAGCCATCCCTGTGTGCCCAGCTCCCAGCAGCTCCGACACACTCAGCTTAAGAGTGTTAACAAACAACAAACACGGCAAAAACGGCCAGCAGCAAACACAGTTCCAAACTGACCAAAAAGACAATCTGAGTCCAAGTCTGAGTCCAAGTCCAACTGAGTCAGGTAGGTGCCAAAAATAAGTATGAAAATAAAAACCAGCCACATCACCAGGAGAGAACAATCAACTGCCTCCTATTCACTGCCATCTTACCAGGGAATACGATGAGTTTCTGGAGGGACAAGGCAGGAGGAGGTCTCAAAAAACAACTCAGAGCATCTGAGAAGGAAAGCTGGCAGCATGTAACGTGGAGGACCAGGAGAGCCAGGATTCGATCCCCGTTGGTCAAGCTTTGGTCCCTATTGGTCAGGCTTCAGTCCCCATTGGTCCCCAGTTAACCAGCCACCTTACTGTAATGCTATCCTAACGTCTCTTTAACAATGGTGCCCTTGGTGCTCTCCGAACTTGGTTTTTTGCTTACAGACGTTTCAGTACCCTAGGTAACATCATCATTGCTAGTGAGTGTGGGATTTGCTCCCTGTTTATATACAGTAGCTTGCCCTGCCAGTGTTGGTGAGGTGTGGTTTTCTCCTTGATAGTTATCTAACTAGGTTATCTATTCAGTTTTCTTAAAAGATACTTGTGAAAAGCTGGAGAGTTTACAACGAACAGGGAACCAAAGGATAATTATAATAATAAAGCAGCTTGTCCTCTTCTCTATCTCGTAGACCAGTACATTGTATAAATCATTACCACTAAGAAGCTGTGACTCAGTGCACAGAAGACAATTCAAGTGTCATAGAATTAGAGGTTGTGCTCAGAGATGTCTGAATGGAGGCTTTTGTCAAAATAAGAGCCATATTGTGCCATTGCAACACAAACTGGGCCCCTTTTATATGTACTGAATATGCAATGTCACAAGGCATATACAAAAGAGGTGAAGCTTATGGCACAATGCTGTTTTTCGTGTATTGACTTGCCCCTTGTTTCCTCCAAGGGCACCATTGACAATTATCTTCTTCAATCAATAGACTCACTTTTGTGTGTTGGCAGCAAGCAACAGAATAGCTGGGCTATTGGTGGCCATTATTTTGGTACTCCAAGCCATTGAAAGATGAAGCAGCAAGGACTGAGGGAGATTTGCAGAATGTGGACCACAATCAAGAAAACCCTGACATAGGCCTATACTTGTCTTTCAGAGGAAGTTGGGACTTGTAAGAGGATTCTTTAGAGTCTGGACGTAAGCATTTGGATCTAAAAACCTATTGGCTATTTAAATGAACAACTATACTTTGAGCAATATCAGAAACCACTCTGTGTTACAAAGAGCTTTACCCCGTTAGCTAATTTTATAGTAGCTGCAATTTTTGGAGATGATAGACAGACACACACAAACACTAAAGCCATGATAAAATATTATTGATCAAGCATTGTTGAATCCAGTATCAAAGATAGAAGAAAGACCAATCCCTTCAACAGTGACCTTACTGCTTTATGGGAAAAAATAACCCCATTACATGACCTAAGATAAAGAAATATATTACGCAGATTTTAAAACTTTGATTCATCATAATTGCCTTCTTATTTTCACATTGTCTTTTTACATCTTGAAGAACATTAGGTTTAAAGAGAAAACAGGGAAGAAAGCCAAAATCTCAGGATCTAAGAATACCATTGTTATATTTCTTACTGCATTTGTAGTAAGAAAAAATGCCAGAAGTTTTAACCCTTACAGAAGTATTGATATCAATCAAAACATAAGACACCACTTATATTGATTAAAACAAGTTTATTCCAAATGATTTGTACCTCTAAATATTAAATATCAATTTCTCCACTTATCTGTCTACAAGACATACTTGATCAAACAATATGATCTGATTAACTATGGAAAATGTATGATTCATAGTAGTGACTCAAGAACAGTATGTACAGAAATAAGATTTTTAAAAAGCAATGCAATTCTGAAAGCAATTACTAAAATGAAACATTTTAATGTTTTATTTACATTCTTTGATATATTAACATCTGGCTACCTACTATACCTATAAGGTAAAATAATATAACACAACTAAATTTTTGCAAAGCCCTGAGACATACATTTATTGATTCAAAATGAGAGAATCAAATTCAGTGTAGGAGAATCCTACTCAGTCAGACAAAACATCCATTCAGTTTTCTGTCATTAGCCTTTGTGAAGACCATAAACTAGGAATGTGTGACTTCTGTCAGCTTGAGGATCACACCAGGCTTTCTGTGGTGTGTTGAGAACCATACTCCAGAGCCGGAATAAATGGGGTTTAGAGTGTTTCAGGGTTTTTAAAGGGCCAAATATTTTGCCTTTTAGGAAAAAAAAAAAAAAGGACCGAAATCTTTGGGACCACTGAGAGTCACAAAAATCACTTTTTGCACCCCTATCATAAGCAGATATGTATACAATAAACTTCAAAACAACCAGTATTTCAAAGCATACTGCCTCTTGAAGTTCATATTCCTCTTCAAATTCCACAGAGGTATCATGCTCAATAGCCATTGACAAATCTATCTTCTACAAAGCCATGTAAGGAGTGGCCATCAGTACAATTAATCACTGCATGTTGTTGTATAAAGACAATACAGCTTCATTTGTCTGTGAATGGATGGTATTGGGATGTAACAGGTAATCCCAACTTCTTTGATTCTTGGAAAGATTTTTACAAATCACCAAAAGTATATATATGATACTGAATCGACATCATCATTTTGATCAAATGCAGTTCATTTTAGACTCTAATTGAATCTCTGTGTGATACTACTGCTTATTTATTCTATTGAGCTCTTTTGATTTTTTGTTACAAACATGAATAATTTGATGTAATATATAAACTCAGCTACCAGAATGAAGGATCAATTTGAATACTTTAAAAAAAATGAACACAAGGCCAGCATTATTTTTTTAAATGTTCATAAATTATTGCTGTGACTAATGAAAACTTCATATAGACAATGTTTCTTTCTAAGCCACTTGGAAAAGTGTCCCACAAAAACAATTCCTTTAACAAATACATACAGTGGCATTAAAAACTTTTTAAAAACTTAACTGAATTCTACACAGAATTCCCCATTGTAAAAGGTTTAAATTATTAGAGCTTTTATTACAGTTCAGTGAATTATAACTGCTCAAAATAACAATATAAAGAATTACATAAAAAGAAAAAAAGCTAAAAAATAAATGACTATTAGTACATTCTTAGTATTCTTAAGATGCTTATATTTTATATCATAAGCCACAGCAAAAGTGTTTGCTCTTGGTATTTGTTATTCTTAATATTTGCTATGCCTCAATGCCAAGTCAAGGCAATCCAATACAAGTCCAATAAGCAATACAGCCCACTGAGCAGGAATTACTCTTAGGTAAATATATATAGGACTGTAACTGTCAGTTTTGTTCTTGATATCTTAAACTGCTTAATGGAGTAATTCAACTGTTCCAGAATACTTGGTATGAAATATTCCCAATTGTGCAGAAGAATTGTTATTAACCCACTATATAATAGTGAACAAAATATTTTTGTTTCATAGAAACAACAAACATTTGCCTCCACCAGACAAATGGTCTATTTACAGTTACATAGGGGCTGCCTAACTGACAGCGAGTATGGGTCATTTTTACTCATGGAGCTTAATAGACTGATGATCTCTGGTGAATTGTCTTCCCTTTTAAGATCCGTCTTATCTGAGGAAAAGGAAATAAGGGGGAAAAAGCCCAATTATTCAACAGCAGTTAGCAGCTACATAATTTAAGCCTAACAATATGCAAATCATATATACAGGTAGATCTTGTATAGCAACTGCCTCGATTAGCAACCATTCACAGTTACAATGGTGATGAAAAAGTAACTTTATGATCAATCCTCACATTTATGACTTTTGCAGGTCTGTAAAGCAAAGGAAAACAAAGGTAGCCCTCAGGTTACAACCACTTGTTAAGCGACCGTTCAAAGTTACAACGGCGCTGAACAGACTTACAATCGGTCCTCAGAGTTCTGGCTATCGCAGCATCCCTGTGGTCACATGATCGTGATCCAGGTGCTTGGTGCCCAGCTTATGATTATGATGTCACAGTGAACCGCAGTCACATGATTGTGATTTCCCAACGTTCCCTGCCATCTTTCCACAAACAAAGTCAATGAAGATCACAAGTCATTCCCACTGCTTTTTCACCCACTTGCACTCAACAGTGCCTGCCTGCAGCATCCTCCCACCTGCCTGTAGCTCTCATCTGTAGCTCTCACCACCAGCCTGTTGGCTGGGACTCCCACCCCTTCCCACTTAACAACCCACATACTCCTGGGGTTATGAAGCAACCAGGACTGCCAGGCTTGCCGTTGCTAAGCGACACGGTCATGTGATGTTGCACTTTATGACCACACTGTTTAGTGATGGAAATTCTGGTCCCAATTGGCAATGTAACCCAAGGACTACCTGTAAGATCATAAGCAGAGTCACGGTTTCACTTAGCAAGTTGCCAGTCCCAATTGTGGTCGCTAAACAAGAACTACCTATAGTGTATTAATCTGAAGATGGGATCACTAAATGAATGAAGTCAATCAAATCAACTGCTTACTTGCTCACTGAATGAATCTGTAGGACATGAGATCTTAATTTCTCAAGAGAGATATTCATGAAGAACTCAAAGGGTCAACATATATGTTATTAAGATTAATGTAATAGTTTCCATGTGCATGATGATAAGCATTTATTTCCTTTCTTTAAGTTACTGAAACTGAAATACTGCAGCTATTTACAGGTAATCCTTGACTTACAACCACAACTGGGACCAGAACTTCCATCACCAAGCAATGTAGTCATTAAGTGAGTCATGTCCAATTTTATGACCTTTTTCGCCATGGTCATTAAGCAAATCATGTGGTCATTAAGCAAATCCAGCTTCCCCCATTGACTTTGCTTGTCAGAAGCCCCCTGGGAAGGTTGCAAATGGCGATCACATGACTCCAGGATATTGCAACACATGCTGATTGCCAAGCACCCGAATTTTGTTCTCATGACTGTGGGGATGCTGCAATGGTCATAAGTGTGAGGACCAGTCCTAAGTCACTTTTTCTAGCGCCATCATAACTTTAAACAGTTGTTAAATGAATGGTCATAAGTCGAGGACTACCTGTATACATGCTCTGTAATTTGAAAAAAACTGCACTTTGAAAAGATGCAAACTAACCATTTAAGGGAATAACCAAAAGAACTTCTATAATTATAAAGGACACTTTTTAAAAGAAGCATGATTGCAAAGTGCCCCAGATTTCAAACCTAATAAAACTAAGTTTCTATTTTGACAAAAACCTTAATAAACTTAACATGATAGATATCTCCCGATTTTTGTAGTTTCATTTAGTTCCAGAAGAAAGCAAAAGAAATAGTCAAAAAAAGCACCATTTTCAATCTGGTTTATTATAAAGCTATTCTTCATTTTTTTAGAAATCTAAGAAATAGAAGTGCACTTCTGCTCATTTTGCAACAGGAATAGAAGACCACAGGCAGGAGGAAGGAAGCATTAAAAGTGCAATTTACTTTACTTAAAAACAAGATTTCGGGTATCTTTTATCTCTTACCTCAACTCCAACAGGGCTATCAGGAACCAAGTGAACTGGCTGCTCATTTTCCAAATTCCTGGCACTTGGATCAGCTCCTTTGCGCATCAACAAACGAACTGCATCCAGCTGAGTCACTCGATGCTGCAAGCTAGCAGCTACATGGAGTGCGGTGTTGCCATTGTAAGCCTAGTTAAAGTAAGAGAGAAACATCATTATTTAAAAAGAAATAATGAGCAGAAGGATTATTTCTGCACATACTGAACTAGATGCATGGTTTGTTATTTATATACCTTGGCATTGATAAAAGAGAGATAATTTGGGAGCTCTAAAAACAGTCGAAGGAGTTCCACATTTGCTTCTTCAGCTGCTAGGTGAAGGGCTGAACGGCCACTTTTACGATCCTGTCCACACAAAAGAAAATGTCCAAATAATTTTATATACTGCACATTTAATCACGGTAAAATGCAAAAACACATACAATTAGTTGCTTTATATGAACATAAAATAGACTTCAAGGCATAGTTTCTTGGTCTTCTTAACTAGTGACATTATCTTCGTAATGTTACAGACTGAAGATGAGCCTAATGAATAAACTACATAATGCAGTAATTATGTAGGAGTTAACAAAAAAAACCCAAACCTGATAGTGTAGTTCAGCATGCAGTAACCAATCTGAATTTAGACTAATATAGTTGGGGGGGGGGCATTGAGAGAAATCTTAATCTTACCCAAATCCCTTACTATCCCTGTCCCCACACAATCATCATATGCACCAAGTTTATAAAAATATAGTCTATGGGTGCTGATTGCAGAACTAGGATCATCCATTATTTCTTTGCTTCAGAAATTTGTATTTGTAGGCATAATGTGATATCTGCAATATCAGCCAACCATTAACTCATTCATGTGGTTTGCTCCATTATTCAGTATTGCCCCATTATGAGCTTTGGATACTAATCTGGTTTGTGCACAGTAATTTAAGTGAGACTGCTCTGATATACAAAGATTTTACTGTTTCCATAAAGGACAACTCAAAGTCAGTGAGGCAGTCTTTTTACATACTAATGCACTATAGAAAAAAAAGCAAACTGGAATTTAAAAATCAGTATATTTATTTAAACAATGTAAACTTAAAATATAAACTTTCTTCAGTTTAATAGTGATCACTTTGTGTGCTACAATATATATTTAAAAGGCCTACAGAATATCTACCCAGGAATATAGAAGATCAAACTGAACTCTCAAATAACAGGATACTGGAACTTAAGTCAATGTTCTTTGCCTAAGAATATATCATGTTCCACATCACATGATACATTTTTATCCACATCTAGATCTTCCAACAGATGCAGAACAAGAGTACGGGAACCATTTCTCAGGTACAAATCTGAGTCTGTTCTAATGTTTCCTTATGTTACTTACCCTGGCTTCAACAAAGGCCCCCATCTGAATCAGAAATTTGATTGTATCCGCCAACCTCTTGCTTTTCAGTCTTAATTCCTGGACCTCAGGAGTGTGAGGTGACTGCTGCCTCTGTAAGTCATGTACCACGGCATTGTGGACCACTACTGCGCAGTGCAACGCTGTCAAACCTTAATATGAAACACAGCAGTTAGGAAAACAAAAACCCAAACCACCTTGTTTGGATCAATGACTCATTAAAAACTCATAGTTATCCCAACAGTAATATCTAGACTTTGGTTGCATTTGATTTGCAATGCATAACTTTAAAGGAATTTAATCTGTGCTCTGGTTACTAACATGCAGTAGAGAAAGACAGAATTGTTAAGATCTGGCAATTTAAGAAACATACGTATTTTTAGTCATTTAACTTCACATTATTTGATAGGCCTTTCTATGTACAGAAATATTATTAAGAATATGGTTATGATCTATATCTAGATAGAAGAGAAAGGTTCTCAGTAGGTTTAAATGAATATCTGAATACTATTTCTGTGTTTGTTATTTGACCCTAGCAGTGACATCCCTTCTTTTACAATCTACATCAGCCTTTCTCAGCTTGGGTACTCTCCAGATATATAAATTTCAATTCCCAAAATAGGGGCCTCTTCTACAGACATTGTTTAAGTAGGTTATCTAGGTTAATGTAGCATTCAACCTAGCATTACTAAGCTCAAATAATTAACAATGCAGTAGGCAAGGCCCCATGGCAGAAGGGATTTAGTGTGGGATTACATCTGAAGTCATTTCCACAAACTTAATTTGTTTTATTTAAAAGTGAATATAATTAAGAATAGAAAAACATCTGTACTATACAACATGCCAAGTACAACGCCTGAGCATCAGCATTGAAACCTGAACATTTTTAATTGGGTATTTTACCCAGTTAACACACTATGTAGGACTATTAGTTGCTCACCATCATAATTAGTTCCCTCCAAATCAACATACTGACTGCTTACAATGGCTCCTTTCTGGATTGCCTGAAAACAAAATGAGAATCTACATTAACTATATGTAACAGTAACTGAAATCTGAAAGCATATGATGAAACTGATATAATCCAAAAAAGCTTATGCCATAATAAACATGTCAATATTTAGTAAAACCCTTTGTTTGTTAAAACACAGCAGCACCTTCTAACTGGACAGTTTCTGTTTGTGATCTGCTGTCCTTTGGTATATTAGAATTAAAACTCGCTGGAACAAAAAACCTGACTGTTTCCTATCACTTGAAACAAATGTAATTATAAAATGACCAAACTTCTCCTCAGAATTGCAGAGATAATTGCTGCAATGTTCTTGTTTGCTCTGTTTCTTTATGGTGAGTAGCGGAAAGGAGAGTAGGAAATGGAGACTAGAATTACATTATAGGAGCCGCACTGCATTATAATTCATTGTCACTTTTTCAGGGAAGGGAGAAAATGCAGAATTAATTTCTCTGTGTTTTCATGTGGAGTTGGGAGGGCTACAAGTCGTATTATAACACATTATGAACTTCCAGCTCCTGAGCAGTTAGGGCCAAGCTGGCTGGTAGAGTTCAGTTAAAACTATATTTCCAAGTAATGTAAATAACCTTAACAGAAAGTATACTATTTTGAATCCTTAATCTACAATTATCAATGTTGATATGCATCATTACACACACTAGTAGGTAAGGAGAAAAGGGTAAATAAAATGGCTCAGCTTATAATTCAGATGTCCCACCTGAAGGACTTGTGCATGACCTTTCTCAGCACACACATGCAATGGAGTTCTACCCCAGCAATCTGTAGTATTCACTTGTGCCCCAAGACTAACCAGGTCCTGGACAATAAGATGCTGATTTGCAGCCACAGCCACCTGTAGGGCACTCTAGAATAACAAAAAGCAGATGTATTAGCCATTGTAATCTTAAAGGTAATGGCAACTGAAAAACAAACCATACAAAAGCCTTTCCAATGAAGTAAAACCATTCAGAGAACACCTCCTTAATAGACTCAACTGGAGAGTTCTGCAGATAATTCTGTTACATATTAGACTGCACACTAACTTTCCAGGTTAATCTTGAAAGGCAGTCTACAGGGGTTTTTGGTAAGAAAATAGACATAGGAAACAATCATGGGCATAAGGTGAGAATTTGCTATGCTGAGAGCATCACCTGGCCATTGTGTTCTTTAATATCCAGCATGTGCAGGGCTACCATCTTCCTTGCCAGCACATAGGAAACTGCCCGTCTTCCCTGGGCAACTGCAATGTGGAGAAATCTGTGGGAAATAAATAGATATGAACACATTATTTAATACTGAACTAAGGTATCAATTTAAGACAGTTTGAAAATATACTTCACCCTAAAAAGCCATTCAGAAAAGCCCTAGGGAAATTGCAGACAGCAAAGGCCACTTAAAGTAGCATAATCATTCAATGCATTCTTTCATTTTATCATATTTAGGTGTGGTGCTAGATGTCAGTACCATTAATGTACTACAGTGTTTTTTGTTTAGTCAAATGAGTAGCAGCCTAAAGAATGCTGATTCACCATCTCTACTTGAGCAGTAAGTGACATATGGACAATACTCACGTGTCACCATCAGAATCTTTAGCAAGAATCTGGTCTTGAGAGATATTGGCCATTTTGCCTTCTTCCTGTTCCACTTGCCACTGAAAAAATGATTTGCCCAACTGAGTTGTGTTTCCTGTACTGCCCTGAAGTTGCAGAGATATATTTGAAGAAGACAGAGATAAACCATGTTCCTCAAGACTGCTGGACGTGTTATTTGAGATCTGGCTGAAATGCTGAGTGCAGCTGCTGACATCAGTTTGCTGGTGGCCACTAGACATTGCTTGAGGGAGTGGAGCAGAGATGTTATCTGGCCCTTCTGAGTCATTTAAGAGAGAAGCAAAACTTTCTGTGGTACAATATGGCAGTTCTTGGGTCTCAAAAACATTCTGTTGATATTCAGAGGAATGGCTGCCTGCAGAGTGTGGCCTGTATTCCAGCAATGGAAGACAATGCTGGGACATATCCTGCTGTTGCTGAGAAGGAGAAAACTGATAATTCTGGGGCAGTTCCAGCATTGGAGAAGAGCTGCTTGTTTGAAAAGCTTGGTACTTTTGAGCAGGTGAAAAAGCTTGTGCCCCAATCTCTTGATACTGCTGTTCCCCTGGAGAGTTAGGATTGACCATGGTATGAAGCCAGCTAACCTGTACAGTGTTCAGAGACACTGGACTGGATTCATTCTTAATATTGATAATATTCTGCAGCATATCACAACTGCTATCTTGCTTGGGCTCATTATTATGGGGATCCTCCATATTATTATCCATGGAAGTTGGTGTCTGTGGAGGTGTCTGCAAGATAAGATGTATACATTTTAAACTGAATTAATTGCACCTTGTCTTGGAAGGCAGGTGGAAGCTGTATAGCAATGTGAGAATGAGTATGGAAAAACTCCATTAAAATTACTTACCAAGAGGTGAGGTTGCAAAGTAACTGTTCTTTTGTAACACACTCCATCAGAAAGGCAGTCTAGAGCTTTTCTTTTCCGATTATGAGTCAATATATTCTTTAGTTCTACTGAAAAATAAGCAGAATTGGTAAATTTATGACCCAGCCCATTTTTCCAATACTCAAAGACAAACTCAGGGAAGAAATGAAAGAAAACATGTACCTGTATAGGGATCATGGTTTATCAATGCTCCTTGCGTCTATTTAAAAAAAAAAAGAAAATATTTTTATATAATGAAAGTACTCTATTTCTTAAATTTATTTTATCATAGTGATAATAATATTTATAAAAATATAAGTACATATTATAAACCTTTAAGAACTTTTTCACGAAAAAAACGTAAATCTTTTATTAATTATAGCTTTTCCAGTAATTGTATTCTACTACATTCAAACAGAAACAAACTTAATATGTTTCTCAACTTGCTTAGTTTTTTGTCATTCTATTTCTTTCAGTCAAAAAAGATTAAAGCTTCTGAATATCAAAAGAAGGATAAAATGTGATTTGAGAACAAGTTTTACAACAGATCCTCAATGCATTTCAGTATTACTTGAAAGTATATAGAGGGGTAGATAACTTAGAAAGTTTGCATTTGCACAGTTATCTTACAAAACATTCACAGTAATCAGTGGGTCATGTTCTTAGTTTTTCAGATGGCGTTGTGTCAGACCAGTACTGACTTAAAATACAATGCGTTTACAGATCCTTATTAATTCCATTTATTCCTGAACTGAAAACATTTAAATATACGCTTGAGGTATGTTAACAAGGAATATAAATAAACTGTCTCTGTCCTAAACCTACAGCTACTGCTTTTCAAATTAATGGAAGGATAATAAATGAATATAATTAAATATTTTGTACAACCCACTAATTCTAAAACTTGCAGCAGCATCAAATATGTGGTGCATCTGTGGGACTGATATACAAAGAAAATGCTTAGAATAACAGAGCTCCCTAGAGACTGAAAATGTTCTGTTTCAGACAGATATACATGCAGAGCATGGTTAGGAAAATACTTGTTACTTCCTTCTAACTCTATTTTTATATTGCTCACAAACTGCTGCTCCTTATATAGACAAAAGAGCACCATCTATGCAGAAGAAAGAAATCTTTGATGGGGAATCCCAAAATATCCTAGTGAAGTTTGGATATAATCAATGCCATAGAATGCTGAACAGTTGTTGGGAAGAATGGAAAATGCTTAAAGAAGCATCTGTCTACCTGAAATCTGGAGTAAGATTATTTTGTTGCAGGTCCCACTTATTTTAAACTAAATTAAAACTCTGAGTCACTTCCCATTTTTAGATAAAATAAGGAATGGATGATATGTACCAACATTAAAAAATACCTTTTTGAATCAGACTGAAATTTGCTCACTAGAACCTTCAGATACAGTGACTCGAACAAATGCACGGTTTGTCCTCAGCATTTGCCAACAAAAAAAGAATCACGCATTTTAGGTATAATTCACAATTCTCATTCACCGACAAAGTATTTCTTTAAAAAAAGTATATATATTTTTTAAAGGCCACGCATACTAGCTGTTATTATCATATCTCACTATAATAAAGTCTATGTTAATTATGCTCTATATAAAGTTGCTGCAAGTACTGTATACCCAAATAAATACTTTTTTGGTTCTGAACAGCATTTATAAAAATATTTAACACGGACCTTTAATTCCTCTGTTCCATGATCTGAGGACATCTGCTTGCTATTTCTAAGATGCAACAACAATTCTTTCACAGAGTTTTTTACACGAACACCTTGGAAAGGTCCTCTTTGTTGCTTTCCTCCCCCCATATGTTGCTCAGCTGTTAAGACACAAAAATAAGATAAAATCAAAGCATGACACTATTAAACAAGAGATTTAAAAGAAAAAAACAGGGAATTCATATAAATTTATTTTAAGCCAGAAATGTAACTAATTATTTGGTTAATATTCCAATTACAGACTTTTTCCCCCTAAAAGTACATTAAAATGGTATTTTCCCCCCCAAAATAGACAAACTTTCTCTTTCTCCCAAATCCAAATGTTCACAAATTTTGGGTGTTATTACCAGGGGTTTCATGAGCAACTTAGACAGAGGCTACAATTTTTTTCAAAGCTTTTCAGGCTTCTGCAGGCGGGAATGCCAAAACTCACCGCCACTTTGCCTGGGCAAGCTTTCAATGGGCTTGTGTAAGCAAAGCAGGGATCAAAGCCTGGAGCAAGTACTGAGACATGGCTAAACCCATGGGTCTAGCCATCTGTGAATCACAAATTATTAAATTATTTGCTATTGTTCATGGGGATGTTATACAAATTCATTTATAATTTTAGGGATTAGCAGTATTGTGAAGATGGAGAGCCCCTACCTAATCTCTTAATAAGAATGAATAGAGAAATTCCTATTCAAAAGCATTAAGCATTAAAATGACTTTATATAAACAGATGTTTAATATTACTTGCATATGTCCCCTCCATAGTTAAACTCTTGTCAAAAATATGTTCATCCAGTAAGATTAGCTGCAAATATTTTATTCACCCTCTTAATGTCATCAACCCTTTGAACACAATGTATTTTGAAGCTTAAAAAACAGAAGTGAAAAGAGGAACAATAAAGCACAGCTGTCCAAGAGAGAAGTGGTGACTTCATTTAAAAAGTACAAATCAAGTTTTCTACATACTCCACCTATATTTAAATATTTTTTAAAAAATAAATTCCCAAAGAGTTGAAAAATCTGGATAGGAAAAACAACCCTGATTTAAGAATAATTTCCCCTTTAAAAGTTTTAATAGAATGCCTCCCCCCAAAAAATCCCATCAAAGGGAAACCAGTATCTGAACATGTCTTAAAGGATTCAATTCCAGAACAGAAAGAAAAAAAATCAAATAAAGAATCAAAGCAAGTGAAATACTTCAATTAATAAGATTTTTGAAGTTTATGAAAACTTCCTAAAAATATAACATAATATGAAATTTATTTATTTATAAAATTTATGGGGCTGACCATCTCACAGAAAGTGATTCTCGGTGGCGTACAACAAAGTTATAAAAACAGTAAACATATAAAAACAATCATTAAAAAAATTAAAAATATAATATCAAAGGACAATAACAGCAGCATAAATGTGTAATAGTCTATTGGAGAAGGAAATCAAATTAATATTTCTTTGTGAAGATGTATCAGATATAATCAGACTAGCTTTAATATAATTCTTGAATGAAAGATAAAAAATCATGACTACACTGAAAGTATAAAATTTCATCTTTTTCCAAATATTTTAAAGGAATATCTAAGATAGAAAACTTAGCCTGAAAATATTGAAGAAGCAAATTTCATTTGGCATAGTACAAAGCAACCATGAACATCTTCTCGGTTGCATACTAGAACTTATATCATCAGCATGAAAAACAGAAGTAACGTCTGCAACAGATTCTCCTAATCTGAAGTTTTAGTCTTGAAATAGGAAAGCTAGCATTGTTTAAATAGCTGTGTATGCCTCCCCATATATTTGGCACACAGTTTTAGCCATATTAGCTCTATAGAACAGAAGACAAAAATAGATAAAAGTAAACTGTTTCCACTGAACAAGTTGTGTTAGCAAGTCAAAGCAAAGCTTTCACTTTTCACAGTGACATTATATCCCAAGGTCAGAATATCATTCCTTATATAACATACTTTTTTTTTTTCTAATTATACTGTTACTTGCATGGAATTTGTAATCCCTCTTTCTTAGCAAAAGGCCAGTGAACTTTTTTTAAAAATTAGCATATCATCTTATTTGCTTGCTCCTTATGCCTTTGACAGTAAAAAACTGATTATCAATATATGCTAAAATCAATATAGATAAAAAATATTGCAAACTCTACTTTCAGCAAATATAAATCAATAAACAATTTACAGAAAATTAATTCACTGCCAGACATAGTACCCAATAAGTTATTTTCCATTTTCAATATCATGGTATATTCAGATGCTGTCCAATACTAGGTAATGAACTAGGTAATGCTCAAGTATTTGCTATCTGAAATTGCTGATAAATTTAAATCCACAAATTTAGCTCAACATCAACACAATTTTTCATTTTCTCTATACAACGGACTCCAAGAGTTGGAAACTCTGCCAACTCTTACAGAAGCCATTTATGTCATACAGTTTGGGAAGGAGACACAGTCCGCTTCCGTAACTTTAAAAACACCTTTCAGGCATGGTTCAGTGAAAGAAGACAAGCAATTTGAGAGTAGAGGCTCAAGCTAGCTTTGGACATGCACTTACTACATAGGAAATCCGCAGCATTTATTGTGTACAGTGTTATCCATTATGCGGCTACTTTAAGCATTTTGATGCTTAAAAAACAACTCTGGCACCTTATTCGATCAGTCTCCGTTTTCTGACTTGTTCAGACCCAATGAAATACATGATCAAGCTTATATACAATTCTAGATGCTTATAGGCAAAGCACTATGCAAAACAGCCTTACGCCACTGAAATATAGGCGTATGTATCATGGAGAGGGGAAACAGGCACTTTTAGATGGGCAGCTGTATAGGTGGCAATGGGCAATACCAGAAAAGCAAGACACACTTCATTCTGGATACCCCGTTAAGTAGCTTATCCAAGGCCACTCTTTTAAATAGCTCATCAAAGCAGCTTGTTCCTTGATAACCAAGGACATCAGAAACACTTTCGGAGGGAAGTATAGACCTGGTCCGACATACTGGTCAACCCCAACTTCTTCATTCTCGGAGCTCATTCAGATAACCAAAACAAGCGTTTGGTAAAGGAAATACATACAGCCGCACACGTGTACACACATTCACCACGACAAAGGTGGGAGAACGTTACACAAACGGCCTTCCCTAACCCGATGCCCTCTAAATGCACCGCACTACGACTCCCGTAGCTCCCAGTGCGATTAGGAGGCTGAAATCTAACATAACTGAAAGACACTGAGGTTGCGGGAGGGCCATCCATCTTTGAACCAGGCAGGAAAACTTAGCAGCGTGAGCCTATCCAGCCACAGCTACCGCAGCTTCTGGGAGCGCCGGCGCGAACTCCCTCGGCCCAAAACTTATTTCAGGGGCTACGCCGAATCGGCCCTCAGGTGTCTGTACCTTCTGCAGCAGAGCGCGCGCCGCTCCGGGAATAGCGCTTCTTCCTGATGTAGTTGCCGCCCGTACTGCCATTGCCCGAGGGCTCCGAGTCGGATCCGGGGGATCCCGGAGCGGAGGGGGTGGGCGAGCAGCTCCCCTCGCTGGAGCGAGGGGAGGCTCCGTAGAAAAAGGCCAAATTGAACGGGCTGCTCAGAGAGCCGGAATCGCCATCTAACCGCGCATCCCGGCTATTATCCACAATCATGGCCGGGGCCGCGCAGGGGCTGCCAGGAGCAGGAGGAGGAGAGAGAAAGAGGCGCGAGCAGCTGAGCCCAAAGCTCACGCCTTGGCCTCGGCAGACCGAGTGGAAGCGTCGAGAAGGCGGAG